GACAGAGCCTCAAGCTGTCCCCCTGGGTAGAGTGCCATGGCTTCACTGCTCATAGCAACCTCCAACTCCTGGGCTCAAGTGAGTCTCCTGTCTCAGCCTCCCAAGTAGCTGGGACCACAGGTGCCCACAACAACACCCGGCTATTTTTTGGTTGCAGATATTACTGTTGTTCGGCAGGCCTGGGTTGGATTCAAACCCACCACCTTAGGTGTATGTGGCTGGCAGGCCCAGGCATATTAATGCAACTCAGGTCAATGCCACTCTTAGAAGACCTAGAGGAAAGCACTGTGCTCCCAATGCTCCCACTTCCCTGAGTGTACACTCTCCCCACCCTCTCCTAGCAGTCCCGCATCCAGAGTGTCAGCCCAGACTGGGTCAGAGTCTAGATCACCCCCACCTGGTGCACCCTGACCTCCTGTGCTGACCTTGTCCACTTGCTCCAGGTGGGCCCGCAGCTGCTTCTGGAGGGAGTAGAGGGTGGAGAGTGAGAGTGCCTCCAGATTGGGGAACGTGGACAGGGCCTGGGGGTCTGGCCCTGAGTGCAGCCTCTCCAGCTCCTCCTGCAGTTTCTTCACTTGCACCTCTAGTGCATCCCGCTGCTCCCGGGCCAGCTCACACTCGGCACCAGCTGCACTGGCCCGCTCACCAGCCTCTTCTGCCTCTTTCTTCCAGGCATCACAAGCCTGTGGGCCCAACACACAGTGCCTTATCATAATAGTCCTCCACCCCTGCTCCCTCTGCCCCCCAGAGAGCATCTCTGGAACACTCTGGCAGTGGGGTCTGCTGTCTGGGGAGGGGGCAGGGAGAAGGCTGAGGCTGCCTGCAGAGAAGAGAGGTTTTAGCACCTGCAGAAGATCTTCCCTGTGAGGGTATGGAAGGGTGCTGGGTCTACCAGAGAAGGGGGCACAGATAGAGCTTATGTTCTGGCCAGCCTTCCCAGGAGCAGCCAGACTGCAACTGTACATACGGCTCACCTCAGAATCTAGAACCCTGGAGAATTAGAACTTCTGGGG